ACCGAAACACACTATATTACGTTGTGTAAGTATCATATTCAAATATACAACACTTACATTTGTGATTCAAGCTTATTTGATTGTCTCTGAAATTATTGTTATATGAAAACACGCATTAGATAATAATAATTCAAAAAAAGATGGTAATAAATCTTTTATTGTTAAAAACTTTACAGAGGAATTTGCATTATAGAACAATGGATAGACACATTGAACAAAACGACGAAAATCTATATACATTTAATCAAATTAATAATGATTGGTTGGTCGGTGGATGAACAGTAGAGTATTTGAATTAGGTTTTATATTTGACAAAATTCACCACTATAGTATTGTAAGATCCTTTTTGAAAGTATTGTGTATGAAAATCCCTCCACATGTATAATCTTGTGATTTATCATTGATTCCTCCAGATGTACATTTTGTTGATCTTTTGATTCCATTTGAGATTATACTATCTGTATTTTATTGTAGTTTTCGTTTTCCTTACGTCTTCACTGAATTTCCATGTTTTTCGTGAACTACGTTAAGTATCAGAAGGGGATTCTGTGGAGATTTTAGTAATTTCAATGGTTGAGATCATGATCTCAACCATTGAAATTAATTCGTTCGTCGAATGCACTTTCTGTAAGAGAACAGTTAACTGGTGTTAAAACTCATCCTTGATCGTATCCGGGCTGCAATCTGTCGGTGCATAGGCGGAGATCACGAAAAGATATCGTTTCTCACACCAATTTCTTCTTACTTTGATAGAACTTTCTAATCTAACAGCACATAACCGACTGTTAATAGGGATCCAATCGATTAGTGCTGCCCCAGCTCTAGCGCTTAGTGCGACACCAACGCCAGCGAAACCGAACGAAGATGTTACAGGTTCCCAGGATATACGCGCGTGAAACAGCCTTTTCGAAGCAACAGCTGTAGAGCGAATTGTAGTACTTCACTAGAGTCTTGAATACGAGTCTCGGATAGACAGCAGACATCGATATTAAGACTTTCTAAAGACATAGCCAGCCCTATCAATTTTCCTATCCGCGTTAGTGTGCGAATGTTGGAGGAAGGCAGTTTGAATGGTGTACGTGGTTTCAGAATAACTGTTTCAGTATTCGTATTCGGTGGAAGCATTCAATTTTCAACCAATCAGTAACTCAAGACTGTTTAGATAGAACCGAATCTCCACCATAGGTGAGCTGCTGTATAAGCTGAAAAATAAGGATACACCAGGTGGGAAGAAAAGAGAGTGGACAAGTGACGTAGTATATAAGAAAATAGTAATAATAATAATAATGAGTGTTATCAAGTGAATGTGAAATGTCTGAATCCTAATTGGAGCAAGCATAGTATTTTGTGGAATAATTGTCATTTCATCAGATTTGTGTGAGGGCTGTGATACTGCCCGGACCGAAGCAGGTGGTTTACTTAGGGGCCACACTCGGAGTCTGACCTAAAGGTCTGATCCTCAAAGCATCGGAGCAACGTCAGGAGATGCAGTCCCATGGTAGCCGGTGACCAACAAGAGGTTTATACTCCATTTGTTCCCTCAGGATCCTAGAGCCCAAAACGTGGCATCAGTGCTTGAAGTCACTAGCTTCTGGTCTTAGCCATGTTGGTATATACAGACTACCTGGTTGGGGTGCGCGTGACTATCGTAACCAATGGTTGGAGACTCTTGGTGACATGGCTCAGAATCGATCACAATAGCGTAGGTGTACACACTCTCTGTCTTCCTTTAAACTAAGAGATTGAAATCACTTCAAATCTTTCTTTCTACCAACTAATTCTTTCTTCCTCTACTATCTCCTTATACACAATCTTTCTTCTATATATTACCACCACTGATTCTACTACTTCTATGAATTCGGTGTTCATCTTGTTGTGCTAATGAGGTATGGCAACTTGGACCGATGCACATACGTGCCTGGTCCTACCTTGTACTTTGCTGACTGAAAGCTATTGCTCGAAGTCAGGTGTATTTATGCGCATAAGAAAGAGTTAGCACGCGCGTGCAGATGTACTGAAGTTTCTAAATATCCACGTAAAGCGAAACACTATTCTTATTCATCTTCAAAAGAACATTGATCTTCCTCGCCCATTCCAAGGTATTCATTTCATTATCTGCGTCGACGTTTACTCTATATGTTCGGAGATTTGTACCATGAACCATATCACTCCCTAGGACACTAATATGAAATAACAAGCTATTTTTCCGTTTTGGAACCTCAGATATAGTTGTGCCGGATAATGGTATGCAGTTTACTTCCTCCATCTCAAAGTTTGGCAGCAGATTTCGACTAGAACATGTTCGTTCAGCCCCATATCATCTATAATCGAATAGTCAAGTTGAAAGATTTGTGGAGATCTTTAAAAGAGCACTACTGAAGGCGAAATGTGAGGGAAGGACAAAGGAAATTCTCGATTTTTTTATTGGTCTACAGAATAACTCAAAATCCGTCAGCACCGAAAAAACGTCTCTAGCAGAAATGTTTGTCAGGAAAATTAACTGTCCTCGATCCTACAAAGCCGAAGCATCAAAGGATAGGAAGGAAGCAAAATATGGATACTCAATTCAATGCCTATTATGGAGCAAAATGTAGGATATTTCAAAACAACCAGGAAGTATACGTCCGTGACATCCGATACTCACCTCTACAGTACCAGTGAACGCATAGTTGAGCGACGAAGGAAAGCAATGTATGTGGTGGGAGTTGACAGTCAAGAGTGGATACCTCATACCGACCGCATGCTGTGACATTCTGGCACGTCACAGAAAACTTAAAAACTGGGCTGAATGTGGAAAATCTTCTTAGACAGTTTCGATATGGGAAGTCCAGCCACTCAGAAGGTTGAAAAACCAGAACAGAATCCCACGAGGTTATTACGGAAACCGAAAAGACCAATTTTTCTCCAGACTGACCCAAAAAGGAGAGCGTACAATGTTCCCAGAAGAGTTATAAATGGTGATATGTTAGCCATTATTTTAACTAATGACTAGTCGTTGTTTCTTTTTTCTATATATTCCAAATAATCAGGTTGGTCATGTTTTGTAAGGATCACAACGCTAGTCGGTTTTTCCTCATGTATGCACTCAGACAAGGGGGAGATGATGTGAAAAGAGAAATAAAGAAGCCATGACACACAACTAAGCTACATTTTTGGACATTATTTCACTTAATTCAAAATACCAACATTTAGTTTGGTTCCGATTTATTCCATAAACCATAAGTTTTCGTTTGATGCATGATTCGCTGCCGTATTGTTTTCTATTATAAAATCATTGTAATTTAAACGTAACATTTTGTACCCTAATATTTAATTAGGACATAATTATATTTTTCAAATTGTGTACGCGTTGAGGTCGTATTAGTTATCTATTTATTCATGTATCTTTTCGTGTTGATATGAATCAGGAATAAATCGAGTAGTGTTCCGGTCGACATTAACACCATTGGATGCCGGCTTAGTAGTCAAGAGGTTAAGCGTTTGCGCGCAAGACCGAAGGTCTTGGTTTCAATTACCGCATGAGGGATTGTGAATGCATATTGTTGGGATTTCTATGATAGAACGAAACAGCTATCTATTGCTTCAAGGTTTTCAGTGGTGGATAAGCAATTGGTTTGTGATTTGAAGTCAGAAAATTGTGTTTCTCCAAAATTATTCGCTTGGTTATATTTTCCAAACGTGAATCCAATTAATCAAAATATTGCCTACATGCATGGGTGAAAATTGTTAGATATTAGTTTACTTGTATGCAATCCTAGTTATGAAAATAACTTAAGAAAATACGTGTTGTTATCTGTAGGTTAACATTACACTAGTCATCATAACACGGAGACGCGATGAAACATGGCTAGAGTTTGAGATTTTCTATGTAGTTAATAAGATAATTTTCGACCATAGGAAAAACTGAGCCACAATTTACACGTGGTGATTGAATTGGTTAGTACAACAGTAAGAACGGATTTGCACCGTTAACATACGAATCAACCGTAAATGCGATTGCGGTACGTAGTGCCAATGAGGCGCAGGGTTACCGGAAGATAACATTTGGTTTTCAATTGCCAGTAATTTGTCTTTGCAAAAAATACCATTTTCAATACACAATTTTATCCAACGTAAAACTTCAGTGGAAGTATGATTGAATAACCTGTGCTAATTGGTTCAAAATTGGGATAATTTATCTAGACCATATAGCAGGAAAAATCAAAATCTGAAATATAAAAATTTCTACCTCATCAATTAACGGCTTAAAATGTTGACTTTTTTATTTAGTCTCTTCTTTTTAGTTAATAATACTACCCGGGTGCATAAACCAAAGTAGGTTGTTGAATTTAAACCGCTAATCTAGTAAATTAGTGTTGTAACCACAATTTCTGTTAAAGCTAGATACAACGGATAACGAAACTTCTGATTATAATCCATTGGTATGTCTATAGTTGGACACGAATCAGGTGGATTCATATTTAAACACCCTAGTCATTTATTTATAAAATATGTTATGCTTTATTAAGAAAACTTCAATTAAACACTGAGAACTAGAAAGATTATCACTAAGACAGTAAGATTGATAAAATGCAATTTCATATTTCTGACTGCAAATCATACCTATAATTTGTGAGCTAATTATACTACACAGCAGTTTAAAGTTTGGAGCATTAATTGAACTTACATAAAAGTACTGTATCATTCTCATCATAAGTTATTTTAACAACAGCACAATTAAGATATACTTCGATGGTGAGGTCAGTTAATATTATCATTCAGGACGCACTTAATAATTTAATTTGATGCAACCTATTTACCAAGTTCATGTTTATGTAATTAGTCAACTTTAAAGGTTAACAATTTATCTGAGGTATAACATTACAAACCGGCTACATAAATTGGAACAAATACAGTTGAATTTGAATCTATGGCCTACTGGTTGAAAGATGAGTAGTTCTTTAACAGTTAAACACCACCAGTGTACACATTAGACCATTTTTACAGTATTTATATACCCCAACGGTTAAAACAATAACAAATGAACAAATAACCAAATAACATAAATTTCAAAATGAGATGAAATATACGCTGTCAAATGCATACACAACAACAAAAACAACAAAAGTAATTATTAGAAGAGAGACAAAAAGCAATAGTTCACCACGATTAACACATGTTAAAAATATATAGAATACTTTATTTCACATGTTCATGTGTGTGTATATGTAGTTTTTCTTCTGAAACTGTATTTGGACAGTGAAAAAAGTGAAATATTCCATAGTAAACATACACAAACATCAAGTGGACAAAGATATTTGTAAGTAAATTACCAATTAGCTTTTTCTTTCAATTAAGAATGTAACGAATACAGAACACACAGATATCACACTTATTTACTTGTTCCGCTTTAAAACCAAGTTTACTGAATGTAGTGATTAGTGTGTCATAGATTAAAAAGTTGATCACCAAAACGGCAATTAATTTCCGCCTACTGAATTTCCTAGTAAGATATTTGTATATTTAGAGGAAAAGATTGAGAACAAAAGAATAAACGGTATATGCCTATTAATAATCGAGTATAACAAACAAATTCTCTATTAATTTATATTATGAGAAATGTTGTCCAATAGACAGGTAATTTTTATTGAATGTGGACAAAACAAACGAAAATATATTGATCACTGATTTTGCATAATGAGTAATGATTGAAGTTGATGAGTTACAATGATATTTGTGTAGTTATTGTTAAACATGATAGATATGAAAGAAAGACTAAGAAAAGACATTGAAGACGAAAGAAAAGGGAGTGGAGTACAGAGATACTGGGAGAAAATATGACAGAAAATAGAAACAGAATGTACGTAAGCGGAATAAATCGATCGCCAAGCTGCACACAATTATCACATGGATTATAGGAATTACTCAAAATGTAACAGGGGACGGAAAAATAATAAGTGCAAACAAACAAACACGATATTTATTTCTGTTATTATTATTATTAATTTTCAAATTGTCTTACCGAAGTTTCTCTTCTTAATAATCAAAACAAAAAACCCATAAAGGATCCATCAACATGTGGTATTTATCGGTAATTAGCAGCAACCGGCACCAGAAGTACGATTTGTCATGTTATTATTATTATATGCTCCACCTACCGGGTTATGATGAGGTCCAAGTTTAATCCCATTTGCCTTGTAAAATAATATAAAAAACAAAACAAGTAGAAGGGAGAACACTGTCGGGGAGTGAAAATGCTGTCAAAAATTAAGCTTTAGCCATATATACCACTAGGTTGTGGATATTGATGCGAAATGGGTGAAGACCTAAACAGAACGTGAATTGAGATAGGGTTTAAAATTGTGACATTTGAATTATTGGTTAGATATTTCAACAACCGATATGGAACAACCAACTAGGAGTTAATGAATTGTCAACTTGAATCAAGTTACTGAATATTTTCCACTACTCACTACGCCACATAGCTAGTCCCTAATGTGGATCAAATAAGATACCTACAATTAGTAACTAAGGTAAATAACATCCTATATCAAGTCATGTTCTATAACTGCGTGGTAACTTAGTGGTTGAAGAACTCTGATTTTAATCAACAGATCCCAGGATAGAATCTCGCGTCATCTATTTAGGCTTAAGAAGCCAAGTATTATTATGCAATTTATGGTTCAAAACTGAGTACACCAACTTTTGTTTCGTAGTATTCAGTCGTTGAGGTTGGTCTCTTGAAGGATTTTATGATAACCAATTCTATGTTAACCTGCGGTTTGGGTACTTTAGTTTCAAACACTAGATAATATTCTTTTAACGCGGTTAAAGTGACAATATAAAATAGTTAACAAACTTACGATAAGAGTAAGCAGGAAAAGATTAAAAGTGATGGGTCCGATTGGAAGGTATGAACCTCCTGGTTAGATTTCACGAGATAGCCGTCATTTACGGTTATTGATATTAGATTTATTCAAGAGACGGAATGTTTTTATTCACTCACTTTCTGTAAATTAGAAACTTATTATCATTCGATAATTTTAATTTCATGACTCGTTATTTTTGTCCATTTTACTTATTTTCTTAGTTCTTTGTCTCTTCCGTTTTAGTTCATTTTATTCCTTACTGTACCAATGAGAGGCGTGTCAACCTTTACCAGCAACCATTTGCGCTAGGTCCTTACATTATTTCCGACTTTTTGTAATTCGCCTTCACATTGAGGAAACAGGTCATAGCTTAGTAGATAACTTTGGAAGACATATTATTTACGAGATGAACAAATAATGAATCATTTAATAACCTGCTCTGTCAAGTCCTTATTTTGGTCCTAAAGAGAGTCGTACTATTGAATGTCACTCATGTATATGAACAGACAAAAAGAGTAGTCATTAATATTTGGTCTATTTGTAAAAACAGTAGTCGAGAGACTGATAACCGTCCTTTAAACAGAGATCACGATAGAAATTTCGATCCATTATGCATACAAAACTTTGGATACCTTTAAAACGATGAGTCGGAGAGTATATGCAATTCAATTAACAGTATTTTTGAAATACAATTAAGATTCTAAAAAGGATTAAGTGTTTTTTTTCGTATGTGGACGAAGCATTTAGATATAATCCATTCTAACAGACAGTTTCTAAATAATCTTTTTTTGGAAAGTTGGAGGTAGTCCTGGTGATGTGTGCTACTGACGTCGACAGATATAAGTAGTATGTATCACCTATCGGGAGTGAAATTCTAAGCGGCCGAAGGTTAATAAGATCGAAGAGAAAAGAATGAGAACAGGGAGTGATTGGTGTGTAAACGAAGGAACAATCAAGTCTTAGACAATTGATTGACATTTCGCAAATGAAATATTTACTGTATAGTCCTCAAATTTTACTAAGAGATTCTGTAATTTTGTGTACATTTGATTATTTCTGCATGTGTTCCCGTTAACTACACTGGTATAAAGAAATAAAATATATGTTGACCTGGTAAACGTGTAAATCCTCAAGCAATTGATGGAGGAAGGAAGAGTACACCAGGAAACATTAAGTAGTGTAATGATGAACTTACAAGTATTAGGTACCACTGAATCTGAAGACATGATATATTGTTAAACTGTTGATTTAAATTTATTTATTTATTCGAACACAAATATTGGTACAAAGGGGCACTAGATATATATGCGCCGCACAATAACAAAGAGAATGGGAAGAGACAAAGAATGTAAGGTGTGTATAAGAGAGAAGAAAGGAAAAGAAAGAACAACGATCACAGCTTGGTGTATGGTAGTGTGATAATAATAATGAGGGAAACGGAAATGTACAACCAGAAAGAATTCTCTCAGTTAAAGAAGGTTACAGCAGGATCGCCACTGGCTTCTATTCTGAGCCATATCTGATAACGTCTCTAGCCACTGTGTTGCACCATCTCTCAGACCTCAGCCAGGGAGTCGTGAAAGACCAACACAAGCCAGCCCTTTGCAGCTTTCTTCTATACCACGACACCAGGTCATACATTGACCACTTTTACGCTTTTTCCAACCAGTCACAGAGTCGGCAAATAATGCACGACGTGGAATTCTCTGGGACGACATTCGTAGAACATGTCCAAGCCACCGAAGTCGATGTTTCAGGATGGTGATACCAATTGGATTATCGTCACTGAGCCCGAACACACGATGTCGAGCCTCTGTATTACTAACATGGTGTTGCCACTGGATGTCAGCAGTCCTTCGGAGACAGCGATGATCGAACACAGGGAATCGTCTAACATCCTCAGCTCGGACAGGCCAGGTTTGTAGATACGACCTTTTACAACCAGACTGTTGCCAAATTGAAAACATGTGATATGCGTGAACATTATGTGGATGATGATGATGATTCGTACTAGTTACAGTCAATAGTCAGCAATACGTAACATAGAACCCGACACATACGTGCATCCATTCAAGTTGATTTTTTGGTCTGAGATACTAATCGATATCACGTGTTGAACTCTCTATATCCTGCATCTACTATGCAGTTTATAGCCTAGCTCCCTTAGACTTGAATAGTTACTCTTTTGACTCGAGCAGTTAACCTTGAGACTACGCAAGTTGAGCTCATATTGGCACAATATTCGTGTATTATACTCCATATTCTGCTTTGAACCCAAGAAGTTAGCAGACAGCTTCTAGTGTTATTACAATCCAAGCATACGTGGGTTTAATACACAGCGGACTACATCACATCATAAAATGAAAAACCACAGTTTTACATAAAAAAAATCAAAAGTGACTTTGAATAGGGCAAGCTATGAATAATCCTTTAGCAATAAAATAGGAATACACAGTACAATAATTAGTAAGTTAAACGGAATATATAAACATATTACTCCAGTTACTTAGTAGTTATACAATAAGAGCATAAATAACAATACTCCGTAAATCAGTTCTGAGAGTGACCTTTTTTCCTTTCTTCATTCTGACACGTCAGTTATAAAACATCAGCACAGTGAGGTGTCGAAATAGCATAAGTAGTAATATTATTAGTGGTAGTAGAAAAGCTTAAGCATAGAAGACATGACTCGAGAAAACATGAACTAGTAGAATAAACTACCTGAGTTGAAAGGTTTTGTACATTACACGAATAGGATTGAACTGGTAATGTAAAAGACCGTAATCTAGTTGTAACTTAAATTTTCACTCAGCCTTATTCTTTATTTGTTTAGAGATTTTAAAACTCAGGCAATCATTTTTAGAGAGATGATAGAAGATATCTTTAGCACAAAAGAATAATCTCACTCTAAGAATATTTCACCGATGTGACAAAATTCAGAACTTTTCCAATACAGGACGAAATGCACGAATTATTTACCTAATTTCTAGTAATTAGTATATATTCATTAAGTTTTAGTGGGCCACAAAAATAGAATTGAAAATTATTTAAAATCCCAAATCGGTCCTAAGTATAGAAGCATTGGTTTATATTTAGTAGTATTCTTTGATACACAGAATTTACATCGTAATCGACAGAGTAATATGTTCTGCTCAGATTCGACTGGTATTAATATCATTCTTTAATAACCGAAGGAACTGCATTTAATTATTTAAAGACAGCAAAAATTGGCATTGATATTACTTCCAGATTTTCTGAAATCTGTCATAAAAATTCTATTTAAATTTTCAAAAGTGGTAAACATAGAAGTATTAATAATTTGATTGAAGGAATAAACTTACCTCATTATTGACATCAAGAACGCCCTCCTGGATTTTCCCATGAATGCACTTAGCTGTATCAATAAAGGCGTCTTCAACATTAGCAGCAGTCTTAGCTGATGTTTCCATAAAAATTAAGCCATGTTCTCTGGCAAATGCTTCACCTTCCTCTTTTTGAACATCGCGTCGACTTTCCAAGTCACTTTTATTTCCTATCAGCATAATAACCATGTTAGAGCTTGAATGTTGTCTAGCATCCTCCAACCAGGTAGTTAAATGTGTAAATGTTTCTCTTCTGCAGAAAACAAATTATGAAAATTAAACAAATTACCTGGTGATATCATATACTAGTAAAGCACCCGCTGCACCACGGTAATAAGATCGAGTAATTGATCGAAACGATTCTTGTCCAGCCTGAAAAAAGAACTAAACTTAGAAAGACATCACTAACAGTGTCCCATATTTGTAACTTGATTTGTTTGTCATCTATATTGATCATTCGAGCCCCGAATTCAACACCGATAGTTAAATCATGAACAGGTTGAAATCGTTTGTCGGTAAACTGCAATAGTAAACATGACTTCCCAACGCCTGCAGAAATATTTAACAAAAACAGTCATAGGTGTAATTTACTGCAAAATTATCCCAATCTAAAAAAAATCTAAATATTTGCTACACAAATAACAAAAACTCATACAAACAAAACTTCAGAGGTAAATTTAAGGTAGTAACAATGGAGGAAAACTTTTTAACTTTGAGTACATGGATGACATTATTTTACCGTCAGATGATACGCAAACTATCCAAAGGACCCCTAATTGTTTGCTAATCGATGTACGCAATTCTGTTATGTGCTTTGTATAATCGAAGTGCAAACTAATTCTGGAAGACTTGCAGGATCATGTATCTGCACTAGCCCCATGTGGTGATCAGCTAAAATTAGTCGAAAAGTCTGTGTACCATGGTAGATGTATACGAATAGAAGGTGGTGTGGAAAAAAAGATCAATTTGCATGTCTCAAAAGGTAGAGTGGTTTACGTAATTCTAGGTCATCTTCGATATCGTCGTAATGTCAGTCTGATTTTTAAAGTTTGAATTTACAACACGGAGATAGTACTGTTCTATACTGGTGGGACCTGATCTCGGTTCCGAGCTGAGGGCATTCGGAAACTGTTTTGTTACAGCTGCCAAAGGACTCAGTCAGTAACAATGTGGAACTTCGTACGTACGTACATCAGTTCGAGTTGCCATACCACATTAGCACAGAGATTCAGTTATTGATTCAAATCCCATAGTGGTAGAGATACTAAAAGTATAAGTAGTGATAGGGAACATTAGGGTTTGATGATGTTATTTAAGGAGTATAGTCCAGTGGAATAGATTTGGAAAGAAAATAAAAGATATGAAGAATACAGAAGATTAGAGTTTGAGAGAACACAGAGAGTGGATGCACCTGTGCCATTGCAAACGATTTTCAGCCATGTCATTCAAGGTCTCTAACCATTGGTTGCTATCATCTCGCGGACCCCAACCAAGTAGTCTACACCTACCAACATGGCTCAGTCCACTTGTCAGTGACTTCATGGATTTGTGCCATGTTTTGGTCTGGCCGCCCCTAGATTTCTTCCAACCTATTCCTACAACATAAAACATCACACGTCGGGGCAGTCGGTGGTCAGGCATGCGCAACACATGTCCCAGCCATCTCAACTGATTAAGTTTCACTACTTCATCAATTGATTTGCCATCCTTACCTAGTACCCGTTTACTAACGACTGAGTTACTTACTAGGTGGTCCCAGGATATACGAGCAATGTTTCGAAGACATCTATGGTCGAATACTAGTAACCTAGGAATATCCTCTACTCTTACTGGCCATTTTTCACTACCATGAAGTAGGACGGAACGAACTGCTGAGCAGTAAACACGTTCTTTGGTTGATAGACGGATATCTCGCCTACGCCACAAATGACGCAAGTTGGCTAAAGCTAGTCGAGCCTTCTGTATCCGTACTGAGATTTCGTCACACACCAAACCACAAGGGCTGATGAGACTTCCGAGATAAGTGAAGCGGTCGACACGATCAACCACTTCACTCCCTATCACTAGTTCGGGTGTCGACGCAACCCAATCCTGAAGCAACATTTTGCATTTCGAGGGAGAAAATCGCATGCCGAACATGCTTGCATTGTTGCTTAGAGTGGTCAGTAGACTCTGCATTCTGTCAGCGTCTTCACCAAATAGAACTATGTCATAGGCATATTCTAAGTCAACAAGTGGATCTCCCGGTAGAATTTCAATTCCTGGAAATTTAGATGAGGAAAGTGTCATCTCTAAAAGGACGTCAACGACAAAGTTAAACAAGAATGGAGAGAGTGGACAGCCCTGACGAGCACCACTTGAGGTAATCAATTCTGATGACAGTTCGCCATTAGCTCTCACTCGACCAGTTGTGTTCGAGTAGAGCCTTTATAAGGTTGATGTACTTCTTTGGTACTCCCTTCAGTGACAAACACTGCCATAGAACCTCACGATCAACAGAGTCAAATGCCGCCTTAAGGTCGAGAAATACTACGATTGTGGGGCGTCTGAATGTGTGTCTATGTTCTAGGACCTGACGTAGTGTGAATATCTGGTCTATACAACCACGTCCAGGTCGAAAACCAGCCTGGTTTTCTCTAGTCTGCTCTTCATGAGCTTTGGTTAGACGTCGAAGTATTATTGAAGCTAATATTTTAGACACTATATTAGTCAAACTAATTCCTCTGTGATTGTCACAGGAGGACTTTCGTCCTTTCTTATAGACTGGCACAATCAGTGATTGAGACCAGTCAGATGGGATTACGTCCAGTTCCCAGATTCTACCTAAGACCTCAGTCAATCTCGCTGCTAATACTGGACCGCCATCCTTAAAAATCTCAGGGGTAAACCTGTCAGGGCCTGCTGCTCTCCCACGCTTCAGATTTCCTATAGCTTTTTCAACTTCGTAAAGAGTCGGAGGACTTACATCAACTTGCTATTCAGGTAGATTGGAGATCGTGGGAAACCGAGGTGTGGCTGTAGGCCAGTTGAACTGATCCCTAAAGTTTTCTGCCCATCGATCCAATCTCCTGGATTGAGAATGAATAATATGTCCATCTTTCTCTGCGATTGTTTCGCTAACAGTTGGGTTCCTAATACCGGTTTCCTTAACAAGTCTGAACAGTTGCCTGCTGTTACCTATTGCCGCTGCCTTTTCCATCTCTCTCGCTTTCGCTACCCACCACTGTTCACGATCATTGCGTAAGCTTCTAGTCAGCTTACGCTTAAGCTGACTCCGCTCTTCGTTATGTTCAAAGCCAGATGGAATGAGTTTTCGAGCATCTATCAGTTCGATAGGTGCTGTTGAGATCCAGTGTTTCTCCCTAACCTTATGGTTTACCGTACTTGCAGATATCACTGCTGTTTCTACAGCTTTTCGGATGTCATTCCACGCTGCCTCGGGGTGGGCATCACTTACATGGCTGCCTAACTGTTTTTCTAGTTGTTCCTGAAACATACTCTTAGCTTGACTATCATTAAGTAGGACCCTAAGGGGTTTCCTTGTACCATCTTTCCTACGGCCAGTAAGACGTAGACAAATACGCGCTCTCACTAGAGCATGATCTGAGTCTAAGCATGTGCTCTAGAATGAGCGACAGTCTTCTATCGAGCCCCTCCATCGGTGGCTGATAGCGATGTGACGAATTAGGGGTCGCCATGTCAAAAGATGTTTTTATTTGTGCTTAAAGTTGGTGTTTGCAAGAAACAGGCGGTTATCTGAGCATAGCTGCAACAGACGGTTGCTGTCACTTGTTCTTTGAGTCGCGACACCATAAGACCCACCCAGGTGTCTTTCCCTTTCGCTTAGTTTACTTACTTGAGCGATAAAGTCACCAGCCACTATTACTACATCTGAACGCCTAGCTTTTCGGAGAAGGTCGGAAAGCTTTCTGTAAAACTCATCTTTTACATCATTTGAGCTGCAGTCAGTGGGAGAGTAGGAAGAGACGGCGAAGACGCAACGACGAGTGTCCCTATCTTTCCGAGTCCTTACTGTTCCGTTTAGTCGGACAGCGCACAGACGACTGTCTACTGGGATCCAGTCTAAGAGAGCTAGTTCTGCTCTAGGACTCAATGCTATACCTTCGCCAGCGAGGCCACGGAAAGCAGCATCAGGGCTTCCAGATACACGAAGAGTAAATCGAGTTGGTTCGTTACTTTGACATGGTGCGGTCAAATGAATGACACTACTAGGATCCTGTATGCGCGTTTCGGAGATGCAGCACACATCTATGGAGAGAGATTCTAAAGTCTTAGCAAAGGAAGCCTGTCGTCCTATTTGGCACAGTGTTCGGACGTTGAAAGCTCCTACGTGTAGTTTGGAGCGTGGTTTCAGGAGACCAGGAATAACGTTCCGCGTACTCGAATCGTTTGCACTAACGGGGCGAGGTGATAAAGGGACGTGAGAAGGGTTGGTCGTGGAGATAAGAGAGTTATTAGGAGGTGTAGGAAGGATTTGAATGTGACCAACTTGGTCTCGTGTGCTGTTATGGGTAGGAGGGCTGATATCACTTCCCGGTTGCCCACACCGTGGAAGGGTATTTCTTGAGGGACCTGAAAAGGAAATCGGATTAGTGTTGGTCTTAGCGACCTGAGTGCGTGACCGCAGAGCCCAAGGGACAACTGCTTGAGGCCGGTCGCGCACGGCCTTTTTGTGGGATGTTTTCAATGTGTTAGCTCCGTTCTTCAAACGGCCTTACCGCCGGAGACGGAAATCCGTGGGGTAAGGTGAGGTGTGACATTTTTAGGGTCAACCTTTTCTAACCGCTTCCTTCCTTGTGAGAAGGCAGCATCGCTGCAGATGCTGGTTGTCCGAGGGAAACACCTTACTGCTGTCACACCTCTGTATAGTCAGCAGTACGACTTCGCCCTCAGACCTTGAGTTGCTGCTTTTAGTCTTACCGTTCTCCAATTGACCTGCCTGGCATGGTAGAATCTGCAGGAACATGTGTTCCAGCCAATATAGCTCGGTTGGGCCATCATGATAGGTAAGCCCGACCACCACGTCAAGGTAGCAGCTACGGTCGGGTGCCAAACGACTGATGATATCCGGTAGCAACAACGCATTAGTTATGCCACTGTTCGACAATGAGCCTGGGTCAGTCAGTTGCAACGTAGGACCAGGCACGTATGTGCATCGGTCCAAGTTGCCATACCTCATTAGCACAACAAGATGAACACCGAATTCAAATAAGTATTAGATTCAGTGGTGGTAATATATAGAAGAAAGAGTGTGTATAAGGAGATAGTACAGGAAGATAGAATTAGTTGGTAGAAAGAAAGATTTGAAGTGATTTCAATCTCTTAGTTTAAAGGAAGACAGAGAGTGTGTACACCTACGCTATTGTGATCGATTCTGAGCCATGTCACCAAGAGTCTCCAACCATTGGTTACGATAGTCACGCGCACCCCAACCAGGTAGTCTGTATATACCAACATGGCTAAGACCAGAAGTTAGTGACTTCAAGCACTGATGCCACGTTTTGGTTTGACCGCCCCCAACTTTCTTCCAATTATGCCTAACACCGGTTAGCATTGCGCGTCGTGGTAATTGGTGTTCAGGCATACGCAGCACGTGGCCCAACCATCTCAGTCGATGAAGGTTCATAACCTCATCAACTGATTTACCATCATTCCCTAATACCCTGTGTCTAACCTCACTATTACTTACCCGGTGATCCCAGCAGATACCCGCAATATTTCTAAGGCACCTGTGGTCAAATACTAGTAACTTACGAATATCTTCTACTCTTAAAGGCCATGTTTCGCAGCCGTATAGTGGAACGGAACGAACTGCCGTGCAGTATACTCGTCCCTTAATTCATAGACGGATATCTCGCCTACGCCACAGATGAAGTAAGTTGGCAAAGGCCAAACGAGCTTTTCGAATCCGTGCTGAGATTTCGTCACACACCAACCCATTAGGGCTGATCAGACTTCCAAGATAAGTGAAGTTGTCGACGCGTTCGACTACTTCACCCCCTATCCTTAGTTCAGGTGTTGACGCAGACCAGTCCTGAAGCAACAGCTTGCATTTAGAGGGAGAGAGGTGCATCCCAAACATTCTGGCATTGTTGCTCAGTGCTACCAAAAGACTCTGCATTTCATCAGCGTCTTCACCAAACAGGACTATATCATTTGCGTATTCTAAGTCGATAAGTGAACCTCTTGGTAGGAGATCATTGCCCGAGATTTCAGTCGATGAGAGCGTTATTTCCATCAGTAGATCTATGATGAAGTTGAACAAAAATGGAGAAAGTGGACAGCCTTGGCGGACGCCACTTGAGGTTGCGAAAGCAGATGACAGTTCGCCATAAGCTCTCACTCGACTAGTAGTGTTCGAGTAAAGAGCTTTCACAAGGTTTATGTACTTCTGAGGTACGCCTTTCAATGACAGACACTGCCACAGAACCTCTCGGTCAACAGAGTCAAACGCTGCTTTTAAATCAAGGAAGACCACTATTGTCGGACGCCGATAAGTATGCCTGTGTTCTAGAACCTGACGAATGGTGAATATGTGGTCGATGCAGCCACGACCAGGTCTGAAGCCAGCCTGATTTTCACGTGTTTGCAGTTCACGAGTCTTAGTTAGGCGTCCGAAAATTATCGAAGCTAGTATTTTAGATATTATATTAGCTAAACTAATCCCTCTGTGGTTGTCACAGGATGATTTTGACCCTTTCTTAAATATTGGGAGGATAAGTGATTGTGACCAGTTAGATGGGATAACGTCTAACTCCCAGATTTTAGCTAGAATATTAGTCAACCTAGTCGCTAAAACTAGACCACCATCTTTAAAGACCTCTGGAGCCAATCCATCCGAACCAGCTGCCATTCCTCGTTTCAGATTAGCTATAGCCTTTTGAACTTCAGCTAGAGTTGGGGGACCTACTTCAATGTTCCATTCATACTGTCTGGGAATAGAGGGTAGTTGTAGAGTAGCTGAAGGCCAACTGAACTGCTCCTTAAAATGTTCCGCCCATCGTTCTAAACGTCTGGACTGGGAGCAGATGAGAGTGTCGTCTTTTTCCGAAATAGTCTGACTTACATTTGACTTTTTAATTCCAGTTTCTTTTATTAGTCTGTAGAGTTGTCTTGTGTTCCCTATAGCCGCCGCCTTTTCCATCTCTTTTGCTTTCGTTGCCCACCACTGCTCACGATCGTTCCTTAGACTTTTGCTTAACCTAGATCTGATTTCTTTACGCTCTTCATCGTGTTCAGAACCTGATGGGATGAGTTTACGAGAATCTATCAGTGCAATAGACCTTGAAGAAATCCATTGGTTCTTTGTAATCCTGTGGTTTAAATCACTAGTAGATGTCACTGCTGTTTCCACAGCTGCTTGTATGTCTTTCCAATCAACATCGGGGTCAGCCTCGTTTTCAGAACTACCTAAGTGTGACCTCAGTTGTTCCTGGAACCTACTTTTGGTTTTCTCATTACTCAATTCGGTTCTAATGAGTCTTTTTTGTGTGGCTTTTTTGCGTCCAGTGAGGCGCAAGCAGATGCGTGCTCGTATTAGGGCATGGTCGGAGTCAAAGCAGGTACTCCAGAATGAGCGACAATCTTCTATTGACCCTCTCCAACGATGACTGATGGCAATGTGGTCTATTTGAGTCCATCGTTGGTTCGGTGCAGGGGGTCGCCATGTTAGACGATGTCTCTCCTTATGCTTAACATTTGTGTTTGCTAAAAATAAACGATTGTCTGACCACAGTTGCAGCAGACGATCATCATTATCTGTTCGCTGTGCCGGAATACTAAAATACCCATCTAAATGTCTTTCTGTTTCATTTAAGCTACCTACTTGGGCATTAAAGTCACCTGCTACGAGTACTATGTCTGAACGTTTAGCTTTCTGAAGAAGTTCAGACAGCTTTCTGTAAAATTCATCTTTCACTTCATCCGAGCTGCAGTCAGAAACGACGAAAAGGCAACGACGTGTGTCCCTATTCTTCCGAGTTCTTACCGAGCCGTTTAGCCGAACACCACATAGACGACTATTAACGGGGATCCACTCTAATAGCGCTTGTTCCGCCCTCATGCTTAGTGCTCTGCCTACACTTGCCAGTACACGAGAACTAGCCATCGGGTCGCCAGATACACGGAGGGTGTATCTCGTCGGGCCTCAGTTTTGCCGAGGTGAGGTCAAGTGAATGACCACACTAGGATCCTGCATGTGTGTTTCGGAGACACAGCATACATCAATCGTACGAGATTCTAAGGTTTTAGCCAAGGAAGCCTGCTGACCGATTTGGCATAGTGTGCGTACGTTGAAGGCTCCAATGTGTAGTTTGGAGCGAGGTTTCAGTAGACCTGGGACAGTGTTTTGCGCACAAGAATCGTTGGCTGTGGTGACACTTGAGGAGGAAGCTAAAAGAGGGAGTTTAGATTTGAAAGTCGATGTAAGAGGAATAATAGGAATTGAAGAGGTAGGTTGATTATGAATACAGTGGTCTTGAGTGCTGTTAGAGGTATGAGGGCGGTTATCACTTCCCGGTTGCCCACACCGTGGAAGGGCTCTCCTGGAGGTACCTTGAAAGGAAATTGGATTAGAGGTGGTCTTAGTGACCTGAGAGCGTGATCGCAGTGCCCAAGGGACAACAGCTTGAGGTCGATCACACACGACCTTTTTATAAGTAATTTTTGTGTTAGCTCCGTACTTGTTGAGACCTTACCGCCGGAGACGGATATCCGTGGGATAAGGCGAGGTGTGCATTTTTAGGGTCGACCTTTTCTAACCCCTCCCCTCCTTTTGGGAAGGCAGCATCGCTGTTATGCTGGTTGTCTGAAGGAAACACCTTACTGCTGTCACACCTCTGTACAGTCAGCAGTACAACTTCGCCCTCGGACCTTGGATTTGTTGCTTTTAGTCTTACCGCTCTTCAACCGACCTGTCTGGCATGGTAGGACCTTGAGGAACGGTTGTTCCAGCCAGTATAGCTCAGTTGCTTCATCACGATAGGCAAGCCCGACCACCACATCAAGGTAGCAACAACGGTCAGGCATGATACACATATTCATCTATAATCACCTTCGTATTTATAAGCATGTCAATATCCACAATTTTGATTCTAAGATATTATAGGTTGTAAGCAGCTGATGAGAGCCTAACGAAATAGAATGAATTCCTCTTATTCTGCTCCATTCTTTAGTTTTGTTCTCTTTAAGATAATAAAGGGAACTGTGTACGAATTTACCAGAATCCTCGAATTATTTATAATGACTCTCAACATAAAATGTTAAAAAAATTCACCAACTCGGTGTTGGATCGTTTTACGCATTTAACAATTTAATGGGTGACACAATCTTGAAATACTGACTTGGGTGGATTGATCAGTACATAGGTTTCCATATCGTGTGCTATTTGCCGATGCTGGACTGGTTGGAAAAACCGGAAATGGTCAGTTAAAGACATGATCCCGTGGAATGAAAAAGTTGTGTAGAACTGATATCAATCGGCCCATTGCGAATCCCTGTTTGGGGTCCGAGAGATGACACAACTCAGTGACTTGAAGAGCTATCAGAAACGGCTCACAGCGGGAATTTATGAGAGTAATGTTGCAATTTTCTTCCACATCGTAAAATTGAGATGAACTTATTTAACTGAAGAGATTCTTTCTGATCGCATTTTTCTTAACTGAACAGTTCCTTCCATCACATACTACTCTTGTTCACCTTTTATTCATCTATTCTTCTATCTTTTCACAGTCACATTTTCTTATTGTGTGGCACATTTCGGTGTTTATTTGAAGCAGTGTTTATATCTTAAAATAAATTAAATACTTTCAGAAAACTCAAACAAAATTTTTAAATAACCCCAGTCAGTCAGCTACAACGTAGGCCCAGGCACATATATGCATCGGTCCAATTTGCCACATCTCATTAGCACAACAAGATGAATACCAAATTCATAGGTGCAGTTACTTCACTGGTAGTAATATATAAAAGAAAGATTGTGTATAAGGATATATTACAGGAAGATTTATTTCGTAAAAAGAAAGGTATAAAGCAATTTTAATATCATAGTTTGAGTGAAGACAAAGAGTGTATAAACCTACGCCATTGTGGTGGATTCTGAGCCATGTCGCCTACATTCTCCAACCATCGGTTATGACAGTCACGTGGACCCCAACAAAGTGGTCTGAATCTAAGAACATGGCTAAGACCAGAAGTTAGTGATTTCGAGGACTGATAAACATGCATGCGTTCTAAAATCTGACGAATTGTGAATATGTGGTCGATGCAACATAAACCAGGTCGGAAGCCAACCTGGTTTTCTCGTGTTTGCAGTTCACGAGTCTTTGTTAGATGTCCGATAATTATTGAGACTTGTATTTAAGGCGCTATATTAGTCAAACTAATCCCTTTATGGTTATCACAGGATGATTTTGACACTTCCTTATATATTGGGACAGTCAGTGATTGTGACCAGTCAGATGGGATTACGTCCATCTCCCAGATTTCAACTAAAATATTAGTCGACCTATTCGCTAAAATTGGACCACCACCCTTAAGGACATCTGGAGCCAATCCATCTGCTCTTCCTCGTTTCAGATTAACTATAGCCTTCTGAACTTCAATCAGAGTCGTTGGAACTACGTCAATGTTCCATCCAAGCTGTTTGAGAATAGTGGGTAGTTGTACAGTAGATGAATGCCAGATGAACTGCTGCTTAAAGTGTTCCGCCCGTCATTCTAAACGTCTGAGCTGAGAGCAGATAAGTGTTGTATTTTTCCGAGATAGTCTGAATTACACATGACTTCTTAACTCCAGCTTCTTTTATTAGTCTGAAAAGCTGTCTGGTGTTACTTATAGCCACTGCTTTTTCCATTTCATTTGCTGTCTTTGCCCACCACTGCTCACGATCGTTCCTTAGACTTTTGGTTAAGCTAGATCTGATTTGTTTTCGCACTTCATCACGTTCAGAGCCTGATGGGATAAGTTTACGTGAATCTATCGGTGCAGTAGTTTTAGCAGTAATCCACTGGTTTTTCTTAACCTTTTGGTCCAAATCACTAACGGATGCCGCTGCTGTTTTTGTATCTTTCCAAACAACACCTGAGTCAGTCTCGTTTTCGAAATCGCCTAAGTTTGACCACAGTTCTCTCAAATTTACCTTTGACTTTCTCATCGTTGAGTTTAACTCTAATGAATCTTCTTAACGTGGTTTTTCTGCGTCCATTGAGGCGCAAGCGAATGAGTGCTCGTATTAGAGTATGATAGGAGTTCAAACAGGTATTCCAAAATGAGTGACAGTCTTCTATCGAGCCTCTCCAACGATGACTGATGGCAATATGGTCTATTTGAGTACATCGTTGGTTCGATGCAGAGGGTTACGATGTTAGACGATGTTCTTCCTTATGCTTAAAATTAGTGCTTGCTAAAAAATAACCCCAACAACTTAATCAACCAAACAAACGAAATTATATGTAATAAAGGGAAATCCTAATGTCCAAAATATAGTAGAATTTTGAGGCCATAATCCGACAACTTTGGTAAAATTTAATTCATTAAGTGATGAAAGTTGTACAAATCGATAGCCTTTCACAGGTATGATTGAAACACCCATCATACAAGGAAATTCGACAGGAAAGTGCTGACTAAAAGTAGGTACTATTGTTAATGAAATAATTCGTATTATGATGACTGCTTGAAACCAAAGTCATAATGATGATCATAAAAAATTTGACGACAAGAAGGTATTTCTCTAAGGCATTAAATATACCCAGCTAAAATGCTATTGTAATTTGACGGAATCAAGAAAATATTAAACATAAAAACTGCACATTTTATTTTGATTTACATTTTTTAGATTGTGAAGTGACGAATATTGATAAACAAACGAAACTTCTTAACAACCATTATTTCTGACTGAACTTAGGCAAATAATCTTTGGCTATGCTGTAGCCGACAACCTGCACACTTTCAACAGTAGAATATTTTCCACCCGATATCACTACCTTTTCTCCCGTTATTATTTTTTCTTGAAAAACTATGTTCCGTGCAAAATGACCTAAGTAGTGTATATGATAATCGTGAGGGAATAATTCTGTCATCAGCTGGAAACTCGGCACAATGAGTGTAAGCAAGCACCTATCTAAACCTTTCCGAAATAACAACGAGTCAGATAAGACCACACAATCTCACCATTTGCTTCAACTTTGCCATTAAAGACATGTTGAAAACAGAGTAATTGTAACCAACGGTTGAAGATTTTAGGTCACATGGATCAAAATCGATTGCGGTGGTGCAAATGCATTCACCTTTAATCTTAAACGAAGCAGCATTTGACTCGGTAGACCGAGAGGTTCTGTGGCAGTGTCTGTCATTGAAAGGCGTACCTCAGAAGTACATAAACCTTGTGAAAGCTCTTTACTCGAACACTACTAGTCGAGTCAGAACTTATGGAGAACTCTCATCTGCTTTTGCAACCTCAAGCGGTGTCCGCTTTCTCTATTTTTGTTTAACTTCATCATAGATCTACTGATGGAAATAACGCTCTCATCGACTGAAATCTCGGGCAATGATCTCCTACCAAGAGGTTCACTTATCGACTTAGAATACGCAAATGATATAGTCCTGTTTGGTGAAGACGCTGATAAAATGCAGAGTCTTTTGGTAGCACTGAGCAACAATGCCAGAATGTTTGGGATGCACCTCTCTCCCTCTAAATGCAAGCTGTTGCTTCAGGACTGGTCTGCGTCAACACCTGAACTAAGGATAGGGGGTGAAGTAGTCGAACGCGTCGACAACTTCACTTATCTTGGAAGTCTGATCAGCCCTAATGGGTTGGTGTGTGACGAAATCTCAGCACGGATTCGAAAAGCTCGTTTGGCCTTTGCCAACTTACTTCATCTGTGGCGTAGGCGAGATATCCGTCTATGAATTAAGGGACGAGTATACTGCACGGCAGTTCGTTCCGTTCCACTATACGGCTGCGAAACATGGCCGTTAAGAGTTGAAGATATTTGTAATCTGGTTAGCGTTTTTTTAGCGAGTTAGTTTTCTACTAGTATTCGATCAGAGATGCCTTAGAAATATTGCTCGCATTTGCTAGGATCACCGGGTAAGTAATAGTGAGGTTAGACACAGGGTATTAGGGAATGATGGTAAATCAGTTGATGAGGTTATGAATCTTGATCGATTGAGATGGTTAGGCCACGTGTTACGTATGCCCGAACACCGATTACCACGACGCGCAATGCTAACCGGTGTTAGGCATAATTGGAAGAAAGTTGGGGGCGGTCAAACCAAAACGTGGCATCAGTGCTTGAAGTCACTAACTTCTGGTCTTAGCCATGTTGGTATATACAGACTACCTGGTTGGGGTGCGCGTGACTATCGTAACCAATGGTTGGAGACTCTTGGTGACATGGCTCAGAATCGATCACAATAGCGTAGGTGTATACACTCTCTGTCTTCCTTTAAACTAAGATTAAAATCGCTTCGTGTCTTTCTATGTACTAATTTTTTCTTCCTGTTCTGCATCCTTATATGCAATCTTTCTTTTATATATTACCACCACTGAATCTAATACTTATATGCATTCGGTGTTCATCTTATTGTGTTAATGAGGTATGACAAGTTGAACCGATGCATATATGTACCTGGTCCTACGTTGCAGCTGACTGACTGACTTAAACGAGGTCTGGAGTATTGACATTGTTCTTGATTTCATAATCTTTTATTCTATTCATTCGTTTGATAGTACATTCTTCAATGTTTACCTTCATTAACACTATGATTATGTTAACTTTTTTGGTTCTGATTTTGTAAATTTCCTCTAATTGTTTTGTTGTGATGCCAGATGACTTGAAGCAACGCACAAATTTAGTTAGGAATTGTCGTTGATTGTCCGCACTTGCAACAAAAACTTAATTAACAGTGTAAGACTCGCTAAAATAAAGGCATGATAATAAAGGCCAGGGGAGAGTTATACGAAGATGAGTATGTGACCTTTTGTGATTAGTTTTTGACGTATTCGCACAACACCTTATCACCAGCATTAGAAATATTTCGTTGGTCTAATTTTAGAATTTACCCTTCTGTAAAACCTAAGCAGATATCTGACACTTAGACCTGACCAATAGATATTTGGGAAGAAGTTGAATATGCGGATATAGAATTCAAAAACATATTTTGACCATTACTCAGTTACTTTTTGTTACATTCGTCACATTTTCTAAGCAAACATATGTATGCGAATACTAATCGCGGTAGAAAGAAGAAATCGACATGTGTGAAAAAATTGCAGATCTTTTTTGTTTAATGTTATGCAGTAAGTATATACTAAGTCTATTAATAATGTCAACTACATAATCCAATCAACGTAGAAACTCAGTAAGCACAATTGGACCACTGGTTTTAATGCGATGATTAGTTTGTTGAAAGCCCATAACATAAGATGAATTTTAAACAGTTGTGATGAGTAATTTGCGCTTACCTGTGTCCCCTATAATTATATACTTAAATAGATAGGCGTACGACATCCTTACTAACAGGTAGTTAATATTGGCGCTAATTGATAATTGCAAATTTACTTTTACCTTCAAGTAAAGGTATTTTATCATGAATTCAAATAATTAAAAACGCATTTACAAGAAAATGCTATTTTGTTTTAATCGGTCAATTAATAAATCTGCGACACGTATTGGTGAC